GAATTGATTGTTTACAATTGAACTGATTGTGTTTATTTTTTGGTTTCGTTGAAATTCTTGGGGTTATTTATTTAACAATAAGGAAGACGTAACTAATTTATGTAATTGCATATTAACCTAGCAGGTTACATTATACAGGATGGTCCGAATTGTATTCCGGAAACTTCGGCAGCATATTCTGCAGATAAAAATTAGTAAAAAAGTTTGTATAAATGTATGTCCTCAAATGCTTAGTTTCGGAGATACAGGGTGTAGAAATTGAAGAAAGTCCAAATAATTTCTGAAGTAACGTCAATATTTGGATGAAAATTGATTTCTGGAAGTTTTTTGACATGAGACAAATTTTATTTTGATGTCAATATGACTCCTACTTGTAGAGGGCGCCACCTACATATTTTTTAGTAATAACTTTTCGTCCGTACCTGTATAAAACTACTGAGTAAAAAAATATACATTTACGACTTTTATTACGTAAAAAAGGTCTCTTAGTAAAAATCGCTATAAGTAATGATTCTCGAGATATTTGGAATCGAAATTATCAATACCTGTCATCATTGAAATAAATTAAACGTGTTGACTAAATAGTTATTAGACTAAAATAATATATTTGAAATGTTTTTGTATCAAAAATTCAACAGAAACTGTTTTATCATCATTTTTACGCAGAAAAATTTATGATTAATTTAAAAAAATAAAAATTTCCCAAATTTATTATTTCAGTAAAAAAAATATCTACTCAACAGGTTTATTTTTTGTCAATAATGACATGTATTGATTATTTCCGTTCTAAATATCTTGAGAACGGTTGCTAGTAGCGATCTTTACCAAGAGACCTTTTTTACGTAAAAAACGTCGTAAATGTTTATTTTTTACTCAGTAGTTTTATACAGGTACGGACGAAAAGTTATTAATTCCAAAACAGTTAAAACACAGGTAGGTGGCGCCCCCTACAAATAGGAGTCATATTGACATCAAAATCAAATTTCTCATGTCAAAAAACTCCCAGACACCAATTTTCATCCAAATATTGACGTTACTTCATAAATTATTTGGAAAAAATCGAAATAATAATGAACACCAAACCAAACTTCTACACCCTGTATCTCCAAAACTAAGCATTTTAGGACATAAATTTATATAATTTTTTTTTACTTATTTTTATCTGCAGAACATGCTGCTGAAAGTTTCCGGAACACAGTTCGGACCACCCTGTATAACACCTTTTGTTAAAAAACATCTAAAGATATTGTAGCTTTGCTTATGTATTTAACCAGTATACAACACGCTCTATAGTCCAGTCATCTTAGTCGAAATAGGGTAGGAATCCCGGAATTCAAGATAACCGGCTGTAAACTCGTATAAACCTTTATTTTAACATCCTAAAACATGTCTCAAAACCTACATATGATAGCGTGTGCGCGACTTGTAGATAGCTAACTAATATTGTAGAGGATAAAATTCTCTACAACTTTTGTTTGAAAATTTTTTTTGTACCTCAAACCGATTTTGAGATAGAGGGCGGTGAGCGCAGTCTTTCATTATGTATGGTATCATTCAAGTTCAACCTGTAGTCTCGGTCAAAAACACGCCGTATAAAGTTCGTTAATTATTGAAAAATATATAATTATAAATAATTTACAATTTTTCATAAGTTAAGTATATCTTCATTTAATAACGCTTACAAAAATAACCAAGACAGAAGCATCAGCCGGACGCCGGACCAGAATCAACTGTTAAAAATCGATAATTCCTGCTAATATGCTTTAATGCGCAAGCTAACCCAAACAGTTCTCAATATGGACCATGTACCGAAATTACCGTTCTGAAATCGTAACTAAAGGATCCCAAGGTAGGTTGGTACGCAAATAGGATCGTCCGATAACCGACAAATCTAGGTTGAAACACATATGAGTTACTGCGCACGAGCGTGATCGTTCGGTGACGGTTCTGCGGCGGGTTGGAACAAATCTAATAAAAGTACGGTCCACGGACATTTCCGTAATTCCAAGCAATGTTCACTTATTGTTTTAAGAGAAAACTGTAAAAGATACTTTTGTACATAATAATAACATGGTTTGATATAAATCCATTCAAAATTAAAAAATAATTAGACGATTTTTTAAATAGTTTAATACCGTGGATTATAACCTATAAAAGGCGGGACCGCTCCAGTTAGTCACTGTTGCCCTGGAGTATATTGTAATTAATAATATTAGACAATGATTAAAACTAAATCTTCTTGTGTAACCTTAGAGGAATAGCGAATTTAATCTACCATCGGTAACTGTTTTCTAAATGCACTGTTTTTGATTTTTCATATCAATTTATACTGGTATTACATTACACTCCATTGCAAACTAACGATATTTATTCATACACCATGTTTACTAATTTTTCTTATTTACGTTTGACCTTGATTGCTTAGCGCAATCGTACAATAAATACGAGGGGTGTCTCCTTATTGGAATTACATGTACTTTGTACATTTTCTTGGCAGTCGCTTTCAGTCATAGGCAGTCTTCTTCATAGTCATTGACAGTCGCTTGGCAGTAAAATTATACGATCAAACGAACTTACCTGAAGTGAAGTTCGATCGTAATTATATGAGGCGTCCAGTCCGAATGTATTATCTTGATTTTTCTATACGTAGTACCGTCCCTGCGTGCACAATTTTAAAGCTATAAGCTAAATTCCCTCCCGCTACCAGTCTAGGTGGCCGCGCCGGCCCTGGCGCGGCGGTCGGTATTCATTTTTCAAAGATTTATTCATTAATTCAAGCGACCATGGGGCAAAACGGGAGGGGTGGGAAGATAATACATTCGGACTGGACGCCTCATATAATTACGATCGAACTTCTTCAGGTAAGTTCGTTTGATCGTATAATTATATTCGCGTCCAGTCCGAATGTATTATCTTGATTTTTCTATACGTAGATGTTTAAAGAACTGATGGTTGCAAATTAATGAATGTGGTGCAGAAAGCATTTTTTTTTTTTTTTGAGACAAAAATAGCTGAAATTATAAATATGTTTATTGAATGCAACCAAGATGAAACCAATTTAACGGCCATCAATACATGGATTTATTAAATTGTGACAATTTAACCTATACATATATGCATACTAAGCAGAGACAGAAACCCATAAGATGGCACTTCCATAAAGGATTCTGCCAAAATTGTTCAATTATACTTTATAAACCAGTTAACTCATCGTGTCGATAGAAATCCCTGTCTCAATGTAGAACTGCGTGGATAACTCGACTATAGTGAGGTTTAACCGATATATATATTTTTTAAGGTGTTTATAACCCATTGCTTAATATTTAAAAGGCCTTACTTTTTAAGCCTTTAGTAAGAAATTAAGATTCTCAATAATTTATTTTCCAAAATGCTTTAATTACGTCGATGAATTAAACCAGAGTCATCATATATATTAGGTTTCGATCCATACATTGGTATGGATATTGTGGACATTGATATAAAGTAGACACAGATATTGATCTGTGTCAATTTTATACCAGAAGTTTTATTATTATTTGTATTTTTTTTTTTTTGTTGATAATTTTCAGTAACTATGATATGCATATATAATTATATACTGACTAAAACAAACTGACATCTGTCTCTGATATCTAAGGTTAAACGTGAAACCAATATATGATTTATTATTTTTCATAGCAGTTCACGGCAAGAATTATATAATCTATTTATATACGTAAAACTGCAAGAAAACTATTTCTACTTTATGATTTAATTGATATGTCTATTCTTTCCGAAATTTCTAGATAAGAAAGTAGAACTGTTAGGGAACATTTATGGTAAAATTTTAATGCAGTAAACCTTAGACACATCATATCTTACAAAAGCCTCTTTCAACGAGAAACCATCCAGATATATTTAAGAAAAAAATCAAAGTCTGCGAAAGTTTACATTAATGTTATTATAATCATCTCTTTCGAAAGTGTATTGTAGAGGAGAAAATATATATTATATACTGTAAGCTGTAAGAAAAAACTAACTTTTTGTTTCGATAATTTGCACAAAGTCTGTCACTTTGTCAAAATGTATAAAGTATTGGCCAAAACACAACACTGCTTTTATAGACCGAAATGGGTAAATATAAACTCTAAATGTAGATGGTGAGTATTCCAACATATGAAAGTCAAAGATTTACATAAACAAATTAGCATTTAACAGCCGTTATCATAAGGACCTCCTTTTGAAATGAGACACAGTTACGTGTTCTTAAGGTTTAGAATAAAACTTACATTTCCATTAGAATAGCTTTAGCCAAAATAGAGAAATTTCTTTAGCCAAAATAGAGCAATTTCTTTAGCCAAAATATAGAAAAAATAGGAGACGTTTTTTTTTTCCTTTTTATATATATACACACACACACTACATATTAGCTATGAAAATCTAGGATATTAGCTATTTTATTATTATATACATATTTGAGTTATTATATTATTAGCTGGTCAGCTAAGTTGATTACTTTAATGACTTGGAGGTCAACGTTAAGTTGGTTGTCGCCTATTTTATGGTAGGAGGCTGGCAAGGCAGCAAACTGGAGGGTACCTAATGAATTGGCCGCTCATGCCTCATCTATCACCCCCTTCTTTTCAAAGAAGGAAGGTAAAGACATATTCGAATATCTGTCACAAATATCTGGATACATTCCGTTGTTTGTATCTTTTCCTCTAAGCAAGGTTCAAAAGTAAATTTATCCAGAGGTCCTTCTTCCTCATGATTTTCATTTGAAAATCCTTCAGAGAGAAAAATAGTTGATACCTTTCGTACAAGATACCGTCAACCACATTAGGACTATGCGTCCGGTATCTATAACAACCGTCCATATTTGTTCCATGATTATATTTATGAATATTTTTCTCTTCCTTTAAAAGAATATTAAGTCTAGGACGACTATTGTTAAATTTTATAACCCAGATATTTTTTTTTTTTTTTAAGAGTTTGATTTCGAAAATATGCTGGACTTCATCTTAACAATTATGACACAGGAGAGGATAGGCGACATGCCATGGCTCCTTGGTAAATTAGGGAGCTAAAATATTTTCTCAGATATAAAAGTTGGACCTTGTTCTGTGCTGAAGCCAGATCATTGGCTAAGACTGAATTCGTCTCCCGAAGAAGAATGTATCATCATCGAAGAGTCGAATGTTCTGTAGTCTCTTTGGATTGCCCTTCCCCCAACAAACTGCACAAATCGCTAGATTTGGTTATTTTCCTCTTCCTAGTTGCTGACCTTGTGTTCGATCTGTTATGAGATAGTGACACTTAAATAACGACTGTCCTGCTTTTTGAACGTACAGCCTTATAAATATAATGTGTGGGGGAGTTTTCCTGTTGAAATATATCGTTTTTTTTTTGAGGGTCTAAAATTTTTAGATTTATCACTTGAAATTCTTTTGTGAAATCTACTTCTACGATAACGAGACCGAGAACGTCATTTATAAAGGAATCCCTTTCACACGGAGAAGGGCATTCACTAAAATTAAAAAATTTTGTATCATTGAGACAACAACACTTCGGTTATTATAATATTATCTCGATAGCGAGCTCTGGAATATCTTAAAAAAGGAATCCCTCTCACACGGAGTAGAGGATTATCTAAAAGTACTAACCTTTGTCTCGCTATGAAAAGAACACTGGGAGAAGAACAGTCCGTGTTTATACAATATTCCTCATCCCTTTGTTTTCTCCTTTCCTCTAATCCCCACATTTCGGGATGTACTTCTATTTATTTCCATCCAATATTCGTCTAAAAATAAATATTCTAAAAGACTTACATGTAATACGTGTAATTAATTTTTCGATAAGGCTATCGATAACGTATAAAAGAAATCCCTCCCACACGGAGATGGGCATTCTCTAAAAGTACGAAATTTTGTCTCACTGGGAGATACAAATATTTGGCACCTAAATATATAAATAATATTCCCTTGAGAGTGAGATCTAAAATCTCATAAAAAAAGAAATCCATTCCAGAGATAGGCATTTTCTAAAAGTACAAAATTTTGTTTCATACCTTATTTCATTGCTGGGAGATAAAACACTTCGGCATTTATAGTACTCTGTTGATTGCGAGATCTAGAATCTCATATAATAGGAATCCCTCTCACGAAGAGAAGGGCATTCTCTGTAAGTACGAAACTTTGTCTCACGGAGAGGACAACAGTTCGATATATATATGTTATTCTCATTTTTTCTTTTTGTCTAATTCCATTGTTTCCTCCTTGCCTCTAATTTCCATATTTCGAAATTTGCTTTTACTTTAATTATTTCCATTCATTATTTAATTTCCTAAAAATAAGTATTATAAGATACTCACCGGTAATACGTGTAATTAATATCTCGATAGGGGATATCAACAATGACTTATAAAAGGAATCCCTCACACGGAGACGGCCATTCTCGAAAAATGAGAAATTTGACTCCCTGGGTGATACAACACTTCGGCACAACTTCGGTATTTATAATATTCTCTTGATAGAGAGATTTAGAACCTCATACAATAGGAATCCCCCTCACGAGGAGAAGGGCATTCTCTATAAATAGGAAACTTTGCGTCACTGGGAAAACAACAGTTCGATATTTATAATATTATTTGATAGCCAGATTTCTAACCTCATATAATAGGAATCCCTTTCACGAGGAGAAGGGCATTCTCTAAATAGGAAACTTTGTCTCACTGGGAGCACAACAGTTCGATATATACGATATTCTTATTGCTTTCTCCATTTGTCTACTTCCATTGTCTCCTCCTTGCCTCTAATTTCTACATTTAGAGATTTGCTTCCACTTCAATTATTTCCCTCCATTATTTAATTACCTGAAAATAAATATTATAAGATACTTACCTGTGATACCTGTAATTTATCTCTCGATAGTGGGATATCAATATTGACTTATAAAAGGAATCTCTCTCATATGGCCATCCTCTAAAAGTACGAAATTTGACTCACTCGGAGATGCAACACTTTGGCATTTATAATATTCTCTTGACTGCGAGATATAGAACCTTATATAAATGAGAATTCCTCTTACAAGGAGAAGGACATTCTTTACACGTACGAACTTTGTCTCACTGAGAGTACAACAGTCCGATATATATAATATTCTTATTGTTTTCTTCTTTTATCTAATTCTAATATTCCGTTATTTACGTCCACTTCGTTTTTCTCTAAAAATAAATATTATACAATACTTACATATTGTTCCTTGTGTTCTACCTAGCTGTAGAACACCGTATATTACATAGTAATATCCAAAATGAGTAGAGAATAAACAAATGGCTTCATCGATCTACGACGAAGAAATCGGAGAGCTACGATCCGCACTGCACCGTGCACGAAAGACGAATGAATACCGACCGCCGCGCCAGGGCCGGCGCGGCCACCTAGACTGGTAGCGGGAGGGAATTTAGCTTATAGCTTTAAAATTGTGCACGCAGGGACGGTACTACGTATAGAAAAATCAAGATAATACATTCGGACTGGACGCGAATATAATGATATTTTGGCAATACATGCACACTTTTTGCCCAAGTGAGACACCCCTCGAATAAACATAAGCGCGTGTTATAAAAATGTTTTCGAAACTGATTAACAACAACGATAGCAACATTTTCCGAAATAGACCGACCAATCACAACAACCAATCACGGCGTGTCTCGGTCTATTTCGGAGTTTGTGACGGAGATTCCCCGCAAAAACCAAACCAAACCAAACATTTTGGGCATAGTGTAGAAGGTGTTTATTATTTGTATTTTCAATACGAAATAAAATTCTCAATGGTCATAAAATCCTATGAGGGATATTCGATTTCAGTTTTACTTCTTGTACATAAAGCGGGAATTCCAAAATAATGTACAGGGTGATTGAAATTTGACGTCTTAGCAATAAAAATGGAAATGCTCGATGAAATTCAAAAATGACAAGTGAAAACATATTTAAATAAATTTCTTTAAATGACAACAAAAACGGTTTATGAAAAAAAAATAATATATATTTTTAAACATTTGTTTTATCAAAGTATTTTTTGCCTTAATTTGTTAACCCAAAAACATGTTTAACTTTTAAAACTAGTAAAGATAAAAATTCGACCTATTAAAACTTAACTTGCCAGTGAAATTTCTTTTGTGGCCTCGCTTCTTCAAAATTAAGAAAGTTACGTAAATTTACAATGCAAAAAAAGCCAGACGTCTAAAAAACTTTCTTAACAAAAATACCTCCAAAAAAATAGCGGTAGATATTAAATTTAGATAATTTAATTTTCCATTATATAATAATATATTTTATGGTGTGTTTACAAGAGAAAAAAATATATACCCTAGTTCATTGTTAGCCAGGCGGAAAATTCGGAAAATAGAGCAAATCTTGATTTTCCAATTTTGATGTTTAATTCTTTTTATAAAAAAGTATTCCTTAAAAGGCAACTCGTCAGCCTGTGGAAGACTAAGTTTTTTACTAAAGTAATAATTTTTCTATTATTTTTAAATTCTTTTCAACGTTAGGTACTTTGAAACTCTTCGTGAAAGCTTGTATTCAAACAATCTTAAGGTGCGTATTCATTATCCGCACGAACGAACGAACGAACGAACGAATGTTCGCTAGTGGTATGGACGGGGACCGCACGATAGAACCGCACGAGAAGACCGCACGCATTTCTTCATTCGCGCGCCAGTTCAAATCGTCAAGATATTGTTATAAACCTGTTTTTTTTTGTTTATATACCGTCATTGAATTATCGCTAAGCAAGTTACTATGGAGCAGTGCATAAGGAGTCGGGCTAGGAAGCGAGACCGGAGTTCGAATCTCGGCCGGAACATCACTTTTTATTTTTTTTAAATACTGTTGTATTCTATAGTTTATTTTTGTAGTATAAGAAAAAGAACTATTTATTCTGTTATTTTTAATCTCCGTTATTAATATAAATTGATTGTTAGTACAATACCTCATTTAATATAAAATAATATTCTACTTTTTGAAATGTATCGGGCCCTAATTGTACCTAAAAGTAATATATTTTTAGTGATATACCATATTGTAAACTATTTAATATTTTAGTCACTTAAAAAGTTAATTTGCATTGAATAATTGCCTACCATTAAAGGAAATTTGAGCTATATAATCCTTGATGGGCATATTCTGGGTATGCAAATACTTCCTTTAAATTTTGGGTGTCGTTCAACCGATTTATTCTCAAAACCAGAAACTTCTACATATAAAAAGAAGCAGAGGTCACTAATTATAATAAACTTCACCCTTGGTATTACTTCCACTAATTATAATAAACTTCACCCTTAGAATTACTTCTATCACAATTACAATACGTTCATCTGCATTGGCATTTTCTACTTTTCGATGGGAAACAATAAACTTCCCAATATTTTTTAAATGATGTAACAATTCCTCTTGTGGTTACTTTTCCATAGATATCCTCAACTCTGTCCTCATGTGAATTCAGAGGCAATGAAAATGAAAATTATTTACCATAAACATCGCAAACTAAAAACCTAATAAACAATTTTATACCGAATATAGAAATAAATTCAGTATTCTTACCTATCGTCCAAATCCATGTTAATAGATAATTATTATTTTTAAATATATTTTTGGAACTGCTGGTTTTAGTAATTATTAAATTAAACGAACTAAAAAGTCTTAAAATAAACAATTCTTAACCATAACCTCAAAAATGCAGATCTCCTGTCAACTTTCTTTATTTTTTATTTATTCATTATTTTCCTAGTGACGTCACAGGTGGTATGCGCGAACTGAACGAAATTGGAGCCGCTATCGATCGTACCTTGTATTCTTTGTACCATGACGTCTAAACGCCTTTGATGTACCGACTCGAAGCGGATGGTCGAGCGCACGAACGAACGAACGGCCGCATGCGTTCGGTCCCCGTCTAAATATACCGCACTTTCATTCGTTCGTTCGTTCGTTCGTTCGTTCGTTCGTTCGTTCGTTCGTTCGGATAATGAATACGCACCTTAAATCTGAAAGCGCACGCAGGCGAACGCCTTTGATGTAACGACTCGAAGCGGATGGTCAAGCGCACGACCGAACGAACGGCCGCATGCGTTCGGTCCCCGTCTAAATATACCGCACTTTCATTCGTTCGTTCGTTCGTTCGTTCGTTCGTGCGGATAATGAATACGCACCTTTATGTGCCACTATAAATATAATTTTCCAGTTCATTGAAAATTAATATGTATATTATTTTTTTAGAGCAATAAACAGTTTATATTTATACTTTTTATTTTCTCAAAACTCAAAATCAACTAATTTATTTTAACCACTGCTGACACTTACTTTCTGCAACATTAATGCTAACACGCAGTCTCACAGGCTATTATATACAATGTTTTTTTTAAACTAGTTTTCTGTGGGTTTTATGTTTTGGTTTGGTTTGGACGACTTTTTCGCAAAAATTTGGAAGTTTTTTGGAAATTTTTTTAGTTTTTAGTTAAAAACCATAATTTCTTGATAGTATAGCAACTTGGGCAATAGATCAAATTTAGAAGAAAGAAAATCCAGAAAAAGATCCAGTGGTTTCCAAAATTTAAGGAAAAAATTATATTTTTTGGAAAAAGTAAAATAATTCGGTTGTTTTGGACTTACTTGAAAAACGGCAGATAAAAAATATGTTTCTATTATCGAGATCTGCCAGCCATAAAAGTAGGCATTAGCTGGCACTTATTTTAAGACTCACTCTGTATATGACACATTTTATGGAAATGGAAACTCCTCAATACAAGAAAAGTTACCATTTTAAGCATTTTTTTATGGTTAGGCAAATTAAAAAAAATGTTTACGTGAAGAAAGCTATTGATTGGTGTAGCCAGCCTGATTTTAGTTTGGATTCTAAGCAGTAACATTTGACAACTAATATCTTTCTTATTTTTTAGAAACGTGTTTGTTTTTTCAACAACGAAGCATTTATTTATTTATATCTCTGAAATTATCGAAATATATTCACTCATATCTTAGGATTATGTAAAGTGATCTGAAAGGAAGCCAAAAGTGCAATAATATACAGGGCGTTCCATTAAAAAAAATCATCCCGATCCACTGACAGTTTTTTGAGCCACCCTATAGAAGTTAACATATTTTCCTGAAATACATTCTCGTACATACTTTAGGTTTGCACTTAAGAGTCTATTACGCTGTACTTTCGGGTCGTGTGTGGTCGAAGGAAATATACAGGGTGAGTAAATAACTGCAAATATTTTCAGGGGTGGTATATTTCGACCCCAAGAACACGCCTATGAGGGTTTTTTCACAAAAAAAGATGTTGAAAATCGTGCATTTTCTTTTAAATTTCCCTGTACTTTTTGGAACTGCCTGTTCACCGCACATTTTCCCAGGGTATAGTTTCTTAATCTCTGATATTACCATAGTTACGACTTTACTCTATAGTTACGGCACTAAAAGGGATGCAAATACAGAAAAAATCCGGTGGCTCTCAAATTTTTTTCAAAAAAATCATTTTTTTTTAATTTTCAACCTTAAATAACTCGGTTATTTTGGATTTATCTGAAAAATGGTAAAGAGAAAATATGTTTCTTTTATCGATATCTTCCAGCCCTGAAAATATTTGCACTTATTTAAGACTCACCCTGTATATTATATTTCAGAAATTTGGCTAAAGCTTAGCCCGATCCTGCTATGTTAAGTCACACCCAAAATTCCAAACACACGTGCTTTGATTAAGGCTTGATTAAGGTTTGCAAAGGTTCAGCACTTGCCATAAAATAGTGAGCAATTTGTTACAAAATCATATAAATTATATATGTATATCACTGTAATCACAAAACTTCAATCTATTTCCGTATTGTAACGGAATTTTCAATTATGTCTTTATTTTCGAGAAAATTTAGTCCAAACATAAGAAATATTTTGTTGATGATTGACCATCAAAATTTTAAAAATAAAGAAGTTGTCTAAAAATGTGCTACAATACGATATAGTATAATCCTTTATTTTTAATTTCCTTCTTCATTTGTGTAAAAATACCTATCCAGTTTTACATAAAACGTTAAATGCCGAACGCTTATTTTGCTACTTTTTCGGCCTAGTGAAATGGACTCTTAAACAAAATTCCCAAGTTTATTATTCTAGGAGCTACAGACGCCCGACGTATTTTTGCCGAACCCCGTATATTGGCCGATCAATAATCTGTACCGCAAGATTGACAAAAGAAAGAAAAACTCACTAAGGTAGTACGAAGTTAGCCGGATCAACTAATATTTTATAAAATTAACTATAGTACA